CCCAGAGGAGCCTTCCAGCTCTCAAGTTCCTGATTCTATAAAATACAACAACCCCCCCCCCAAAAAACCCCACCAAAGTAAATATAAATGATATTTCGGGAGGTGTGGAGTCCCTCAACTGGAAGGCATGATTGTGGTAGGAGGTAATACTTGAGCTGATCCTTGAAGAGAGTTAGGGATTTCAGGAGTTTTAGGTGAAGAGAGAGAGCATTTCAGATATGGGTGACCTCCAGCCCTGTGCAAACACATGAAGGGGAGAGATAGAATATCATGTATAGGAACTGCAAGTAGACCAGGCTGGCTAGCACAGAGAACACATGAGGGAGAGGCATATGAAACCAGGCTGGAAATATACAGTAGAGCCAGGATGTTTAACAGTCAGCAAGTCAATAAGCATTTATTAAACACCTACTATGTGGCAGGTGCTACTTGAAGCACACTTAGAAGCAGCTAGGTAGTTCAGTGGTTAGAACACTGGGACTGGAGGCCAGAAGACCTGAGTTCAAAACCTTAGACACTTCATAGTTGTGTGATCTTGAGGAAGTCACTTAACCTCTGCCTGCCTCAGTTTCTTCAATTGTAAAAATGGGGATAATAACAATACCTACCTCTGAGGGTTGTGAGGATCAAATGAGTTATTTGTAAAGAACTTAGTCTGACACTTGTAGGTAGTTAATAAATGCTTATTTCCTTCCTTCCTTCCTAAGCACTAGGGCTACACAGAAAGAGAAAAAAAAACAAAAACCAAACCCAACCCCCAAATCAAAAAAGAACTTGTCCCTGTTCTCAAGAAATATACACTCTAATGGGCGAGATAGTGTGTAAATATCTAGGTAAACAAAAGATTTATGCACACACACACATTATATATATTATATATTACATATATACATATGTGTGTATATTTGTATATACACATACACACATATATACATATATACACAAATGGGGAAGACTAATATTGGCAAGGGAGGCACCAGGAAAGGCTTCCTGCAAAAGGTGAGATTTGAATGCCGAATCTTGAAGGAAGCCGGGGAAGCTCACAGATTGTAGTTTGTCCTTTGTTCTTGAAGGGGATCAATGACATGAGGAAGGTGATATCTTGATTTGCAAATGAATTGGATTTAAGTGAGTCAGGGACGCTGGTACAAAGTCACCAGCCTCACTCTCTCCTTCAGAGCCATCTGAGTCCAGTGGCAAGACATAGATCAAGACAACTGGAGATGGAGGTAAGGAGGTAGAGCATTCCAGGCATGAAGCAACAGCCAAGAGAGATGGAGTGGCATGTTTAAGGAACTAAGTCAGTCGATGTAGCTGTATTATAGAGTAAGGCAGAAGAATGCTGGAAAGGTAGTAAAGACCCTGTTATGAAGAGCTTCGAATGCCAAGCAGAGGCATTTATGTTTCATCCTGGAAGTAAATGGCAGCCACTAAAGCTCCTTGGTCAGAGGTGGTGTGGGTTGGTGTGTGTATGACAAGGTTAGACCTATTCTTTAGAAAAATTACCTTAGCAGTTAAGTAAAGAATAGCTTGGAGTGGAGAGAAGAATTTGTATCTCTTGGAGGTGATGGAAAACTTTTAAGTAAAGGAAGGACACAGTCAGGTCTATGCTTTACAAGTGTCAATTTAGCAGCTGTATGGGGAATGGATTGGAGAGAGGAGAGCTTCCAACACAGAGACCAATTAGGAGTCAACTGCAATAGTTTAGGAAAGAGGTGATAAGGCTGTGTGTTAAGGTGGTGGCCAATTAAATGGAGAAAAAGAGTCGAGTGTGAGAAATGTTTCAGAGGTGACAAACAGCCTAGCTGGAAAGGAGGATTTGCATCCCAAAGAAGAGCTGACTGTATTTGTAGATGTACTCAACACTCATAAATACTGGCTGTCATTCCAGTAGAACTATCTTAAAGTTCTTATTGTTAACCCATCCAAATCATACATTTACATTTAGCACACATAGCACCCAGGGATAATTATAATAGGAATAACTCCCATCTCTATAGTTCTTTAAGATTCACGAAGCACTTTCCACCCAACAGTCCTGCGAAGTCAGGAGGGGTGTGAAATCACCTAGGGAAATACAGATTGTCCTTTCATTTCTAGCCATCTGCAACTCAGGGAAGGGATCACAAAAGCCATCACTTCATCGCGCCACTCATCTGCCAATCCACAAAATTGACTGTGAAAAGAATGTAAAATAGAACTGCAAGAAATTCTGCAAAATTTCTGCTTGCACTCAAATAATGAAAATATTATCTCTTAATGAGAATAAAATATCAATTAAATAAACCTTCATCAAGACAAGTTGGTGTTATTAGGGCAATGGAACTGAAACCTCCCAAAGTCTCGGCTAATTTCCAGTGAGCAACTAATGTGGAGCTGGTCGTCACAAGCTATTTGTAGACATTTAAATATGAAATAACTTCTTAGCTGCCATTTCAAGTTCTTTTCTTTCATTCAAACAAAATTGTGAGTTTAAAATTGGATTTTTGAAAAGATAGACATTTAGCTTCCCTATTCTAGATTTAAAAAAATGTATCCCCAACTGTATTTCTCTAGTCTTTTCCCTAGAAGTAATCATATGCTTTGCACATGAACAGCCCTAATTGGAAGTAGACCAGTGAACACAATGCTACAGCAAGCTGTTAGGGCTTCTTGAGTGACCCTTTTTTATATCTGAATGGCTATGATATCTGCATTCTAAAAGTGTGCAAAGAGAGGATTTCCTGATCATGCACACATACATGTATTTATGCCTGCAGAAAATTGCATTCTCAATCAATTAATTCATTGCCTTGGAAAATTTTGCTTATTATGCCCACCCTCCCCCTCTAACTCCCTGCTTCCCCCATTGCTTTCGCTGAATAGGTCTCAACATATTCTTTCATCAAAGTAGTAACTTCTTATCTGATTATTTCTTGTCCCTGGATGGATGCCCTTTGCTGAATGCAAGTGAGGAACAAATCTGATAACGGCAATGTGGGAATGACTTTTGGAAACTGAGCTCTAGGGGTTGGCTTCTGCTCATAAGAAGTGAATTCCTGAGCTCTTAGAGAGCTAATTACATCTTGAAAAAAAATGTACAGCTACTTCTAGTGCCCAGGAATCTGGAAAGGTTATGAGAAACTAAAGACTTCACACTCATGATGACTACAAATTAAGTATAATGAGATATTCTAAATGATTTCCAGGTGTTTGAGCCTCACTTCAGATGGAAATCCTCTTTGAGACTTAACTCTTGCCTCTGTTTGCAAGTTTTTCTGCCTGCCTGGCATTATTAATTCAGTGCTACTTATGCCATCTAACAATAACTTATTCTAGTAGACTGTCAACTTCTTGAGGGTAGAACAGTTTATTGCTTTGTTTTGTATGCCCCCAGTAACTATCATAGTGGCTAGTACATAATATGTACTCATTTAATTAAATGGAATGGTAGAGGAAACAAAGCAGGCATTGAAAATTTTTTCTAAATTTAAAAAAATGTTTAATTAATTAATTAATTTTTAATTTTCAACATTCACTTCCATAAGCTTTTGAATTTTAAATTTTCTCCATCTCCTTCCCCTCGCTTCTCCCCAAGACAGCGTGCAATCTGATATAGGCTCTACATACACATTCTTATTAAACATATTTTCACATTTGTCATGCTGTAAAAAGGAATTAGAAGCAATAAGAGGAACCACAAGAAAGAAGAAACAAAAACAAACCAGAAGGAAAAAAGAGCAAATAGTAAGGCATTAAAAATTTTAGAAAGTTATTACATGCAGGTGGCATAAAGGCAAAGATTTACCTGAACTCTCCCAAATTCTCTTCCAGACAACTGTGAAATAACATCTCAAAATGAATTCAGGAGTGGCAGAACCAACAAAAGGACAGGGTGAAACAATTTTCCAACCCAACAAGGTTATTAGGAAAGGTCTGTCTCACTGGAGTGAGAGTGGTGTGTAGTCCAGCACAGGCTCCAGTCTGGCAAGCTAGCGGCAGACCCTGCGGGTAACTGGTAAAGATATCAGAAAACTGATCAGAAGGAGATTACAGGGGGACTTTTGATGGCACTGGCTGTAGGATTCTGCTGCATTGCCCATATGTGGTTCTGAGTCTCAGTCCCAGGATGAGGAGGAGCACTAGCACATCAGACCTTTTGGCTACAGGGCAGCAGGGACCCTGGTCATAGCTGCAGGGACCCTGGTCATAGCTCCAGGGTGGAAAAGA